GTTGTTGCGCAATTCTTTATTTTCAGTTAGAATGCAGTTTTCAATGTGATCACCTGATTTTGTATAGAATTGCTAATCTTACAGGCATAAACATTGAAGACCAAAATCCTCAACAGATATTTAAATTATATTCATTTGCAATAATCAGTAAAATATTATTTATATGACTATTAATAAATATCCATCATTTGCGATATTTCATCATTAAGTAGTAATGCATTGCGCGTACAGGTTGTTCCGGTTGCTGATTTGGCCAAATACGTATACGACACCAGCGATATGGACAGTGTCACATCCATAATTGCTGCCCTTGTGAAAGACAACACGGTAATCGTTTGACTATTTATGCTATGGACCCAGCGCAGGCTTAAGGCCTAAACGTGTTCATGACTATATTTATATTCATTGATCACTTAAAATTCAGCTCTTGTTCGCTGAAAGCCTGAACTAGTATAAATAGTGAACAAGAATTTTAATATGAAAGCACGCAAAGTCACCGGCTTCTGGATCCTTGCACATGGAGCATTCGCCTTGTTTCGGCTGAATGTCGATCGCTTCAATTTTTACGGGTTGCACGTTCTGCTGATTGTCACACTGAGCAACCAGCTCTCGAACAGTAAAGGTAAAAAGTAGCCATAAGAGGAACTCGCCTCGGACAGCATGGCCGTACAGCTTGCCCATTCTGACATGACCACACCAGTATACCATACCGTCCCTGCTGTTTGCAAGTCATCGACTTGATACCCGTTTCTTGGTTGACAACACTTAAACTTAAACTTAAACAACTTTCAGTGAATTGATTGTTCAATTTTTACCACTAGTGACAAATCTAATCCTTCCTCGGGACTCGAATCCTGCTTCTCCGCAGTTCGAAGCCGGCCATTCTGACTCCCCGTTTCCACAGATTAGAACTCGAATTCGCTAGACTGTCTTCGTGAGGTTAAACATAATAACTATGAGTATGTTGAGTTGAAAATTGGCAAAAATGATTTTTAACTTACGCAGAAACTGTCACATGCATCATTCATCTTTCTTCATAACAGTCGTTACGTTCATTCGTTGT